AATAAGAGTGTCTTTTGGCAGCACTGAATTTGACCTCAATTCATTCGGTTGTCCTCTGCTCTCCTGCTAGTCTGGCCATGTGTTCCTGATGCTACCTTGGGGTGGATCTAACCAATATACAACTCTCTGTGCGTATGTATATACATTATATACATACTTGAATGGAGTATTCTGGTGTGAACATCTAGTGCAACAGAGTAGGACTGCGTGTAAAAGGAAAAGTTGCTGTATTTTCTTGGAGCAGCAGTTTTCAAGTGTAGTTTCTTGTAGGTTGCCAGGGAGCAGAAAGGCCTACTTACTGCAAAGGCATTAAGAAGAGAAATGACAAAGCTTAAAATCTCTGAAGAAGAATGATAAATGAATTTTCTGTGAGCAATACTAAGACTTTTCGCTTTAGTAGCATCTGATATTGGATATTAGGAAAAATTTCTTCTCCTGAAGAGGTTAGGTGCTATAATGGACTGTCCAAAGAGGTGTTCAGGAAATGTTTAGTGGGGAAATATTGGTGGTAAGTGGATGGTTGGACTAGATGATCTTGGAGGCCTTTTCCAACCTCAGTGATTCTATGATGCTGGAAGACGAAACAAATCATCTAAGGAGAAATTTCAGTTTGCTAACATGTACTAGCCTAAACCAACCAAACACTTTGAGTATTGGTAAATACATATTTCAGCTCAGTGGAAGGAAATTAGGGATAAACTACCTATCAGGTTTTTCTTTTTATATAAGGTTTACTTACCAGCAGGTCCAAAGCAGAGAATATTTGATATAGGTCCAGTGAGAAGGATAGTTTGGAACAAAGGAATGGGCAAAGGCATGAAAGTTTATTTGATAGGGTCTCTCTGTGAGATAACAAAAAAGTCTAATTGCAAATATTTTAATCACATTTGTCAGTTTATGAATGACTGACTGTGTCTTATAAATCCATGAGCTTTATTCTATTTGACAGATTTTGAAAATTAGGATTTTTCCTATTGATTTGAAAGTTTTCAGTTTAAGCAAATGCAACAAGACATGTAATTAAACTACACTGAAAATTTATCTGATTATGAAAATAGTGCAAAACTATGTACTTAATTTGCAGCAGTAAATTGTTGCAAAGCAGTATCATTGTTAATCATAATTTAACTCAATGTTTGCTAATTACTCATGTTCTACTCCATACCCTCATAGCATCAGTGTAGAAATTCTTCAAAGGAGTCTAAACTTTTCAAGTAGGCAGCATAGCAAAATCTAATAGGATCACCTGAAGTATGGGGGATAGCACACTTCAACTCCAGGACATTTAAAACAATCTGTTATGACCTTTTATAAGAACATCACACTACAATCTAGCATTCACCTTCATTCTCTCTCACCAGGCCTCCATTTCAAGCTCACAGATCCCTCTTTCAGCTGACCCTTCCTGATTAGCCTCTGTGAGAGTTCTTCCTACAAAGTCCTAATGACTAACACAATTAGCCCTGTCCACTTGCACTAAATTCCAGTGCACCTCATTCGATTTCCTAAGTGTAAACACAAACACACATTTGGACAGAAGTTTGTTCCTACACATCTACTGAAAGTAGAAAAAGAAAATTAGGGCACGATAGTCTTTCAAACTCTGTTCATGTCATACTCAAAATACACATAACACTTTTAATAGGTAACATACCACAGAGCTGGCATAAAGACAGAGAACAGACATCACATTTAGTTGTTATTTCTTCCTATGACTTCTATTGTTCATCTTTGCAGACATCCACAACCACTGGATTAAATATGGACGCGATAGTATTTCTTCTAGTATGACAAACTACCAGAGTTTGATGTAATGAAAAAATGAACCACATATACTTTCCTATTTTCAGAGCCCAGGAAAAAGATGTCCAACAAATATGAAATACTTTTCCTCTCACACAATTTATTATCTTCATATCATAATATATAGCTTGGAACTTAATGGACTATTACATGTACTCAAATGCCCATTCTTCTTTAAAAATCTCTGTATGGAAAAGCAGTCTGTTATAGCTGAGTTAAGCGTTCAATGTTTTAATGAATCAACATTAGTACAATTGGTGAGCATGTGTAAGATAGGCACGAGTCTGTTTTTACTTGTACTAAATGTGCTAATCTGTAATAGGAGACGATGAACACAACATTTATGAAATCAATGTTCATATAGTCCTGTTGCATTTGTAGTTATAGTGAGATTAGACATAACTACACATAAACTCTTCCAAAGGAAAGCTGAACATTACAGCTAAATGTATTACTAGTTATCTTTAAGAAAAGTGATGTAGTAAATTTCTTTTTTCATTGTGCAAAACCAATGGCAACTTTAAAACATCTCTGGCACTGCTGGCAATGGCAATTTATAAAATCTCCATGAAAGAGAAGAATGTATTTTCTGTTAATGGTAATCTGGTTTGCTGGCTATTGGAGAAACTAGGGAAACTGCTCCATGTTCATGTCCTTCTTTGTTCCTGCAGTCTCCACTCATTTAATAACAGATACAGGAAAGGACTCAGAATGAAATGCTTTCTGAAGTAATGCTTAACTTCAGAATGCTGAACTAATGCTTAATCCTCACGCAGTGGTTAAGTGTCCCCTGCTCCCTAGTTTGCTCGAGCACTGTGCCCACCCAATTACACCACTGGCATACCTGAGATGGAAAGAGCAATTCTGGAGAAAAACATAAACAGTGTGCTTATGCTCCAGTCTACATGTTAAGTTTGATGATATATGTGGAAGTTTCCTAGTGTACTGCATTAGGTGTGTAACATTTTAGGACTTAAATTAAAATTCTGCCCTTATTGCCACTTAGAGTAAATTAAACAGGAATATGAACAAAACTTCAGTTCTGCTCATAACACTTAGAGTAACTATTTAACAGTAACACCTCTTTTGGTGTGAACAGAGATGCTCCAAAATCACATTTAACTACTTAGCTTCTAAATGAATGCTCCCTATGCATGATGTTTCAGTTTTATTTTAAAATTGTAAATTCCACTTCTGCCTTGTGAATACAAAAGTCATATAGTTCAGCACAATCTCTATTTCAGCACAATCTTTTTTTCTACTGTAGTAATATTAGCAATAATTACAGAATGAACTAGGTACTAAAATCTCGCTCTGAAAATTACAGAACACTGTGTGTGTGAACGTCCATGTAGAGCCACTGTGTTCATAAAGCTGCACAGGGAAATCTGGCTGTTTTCTGAGTACACTATACAAGGAGTGAGCAGGCAATAGAAGAAGGTAACATGGCAGATCTTGTCTCAAAGCATATCCTCTCAAATAAGAAAAGGGTCTGTCAGAATGAAATACAGAATAGTAAAACCAAGTGACTGTGGTAAATTCCTTTTGCATTAAAAGCAATCCTGATTACCTGCCTGATTATCTTGTTCTGGTCATGAATATATTCAGGGTACTGCTCAAATCATAGCTTTCCAGCTGTGACTGAACCATGTTGTATACTTCCTAATATTGTGACATCTCTCTTCGGGAGATTTCATGCAGAAGAACAGAAAACTGCACTCTGTCTGATTCTGGGAGTTTTAGAAATCAGTACCACTAAACACTGCTCATTAATATTGTAGTGTTTTAACCCAATGGGTGGCTCAGCACCACACCGGTGTTAGATCACTCCACTCCCCCCCAGTGTAGCGAGGGAGAGAATAAAAAAAAAAGCAAAATAGAACTTATGGGTTGAGATAAAACTATTTACTGAGATAGAGAAAAGGAAAATAAAAATAGTTATGGCTTTATATACGTATATAAACATTTGCAACAAATGATGGACAAGTAGTTGCTCACCATCCCCTGACCGATGCCCAGCTAGCTCCCTGAGCACCTGAAGAGAGTGAGAGATGAACTCTAATCTCCTTCAGAACTCCTTCCACTTGATGTCATACAGTATGGAATATCACTTTGGCCAGCTTAAGTCAGCTGTCCTAATTCCATTCCTTTCCATCTCCTTGGGCCCTTCACTACAAATGGCGTTGACTTAGCAGGCAACTATTAACATTGGTGTGGTATCACCTTCATTTTTCTCCTAGAACCAAAACATATCACATCAGAAACTCTGAAGAAAACAATTCCACCTCAGCTGAAACTAAGACAAATATCTTCCTCCTTGTTTCACCCATCATCATCCAAAGCAGAGACACAGGAATCTGCTCAGTTTCTCACCTTGTATGTTACGTGGCTGCTTACCATCACACATACTTAAGTTGTACATTTTGATCCCTGTATCTTTTGGGAACTCAGAGTTCCCAAAATGAACAGCATGACATTTAGCCCTCTCACCTTTAATACTATTCCTGAGATCTCTAAAAACACATGTTCTAAGTAATTCTTTCTGGTAACGTTCTGCTCTCCTGAGTCCTTTCTTGAATAAAACACAAAGTCACAGCAGTGTAATGTCGTTCATCTTCATAAAGATGGTGTGTAAAGAAATGCAACTCTTATTCTTCCAAATACAAGCTTAACCAAAAGCTGTTCTTAATTTAATTGCATTATAAACCACAATACGTGGAGATTTAAGTTTCATTTCAAATGCAAATTATTTGAGTTCTTTAGCAGCTTCTCCTCATCAAATATGGAAAGACTTTTCTCCTTAATTGTATCTCTATGTCTTCAAGAACACTCAGCAGCCTTTTAAGCATCTGTTCTTCCCAACCTTTCCATTAACAAGTTACAGTCTGCAATGATTTACTCTTTAGCTTATTTTTCTCTGTATTTAGTTGCTGACCACAATGCATAATGAAAATATGGGGAAACCTCTGAAGCAATCTTTATTAATGTATTCTGCATAGAAATCTGTATGCATTTTTTGCTTTGGATATTTGCTTTTAGCAGAAATCTGGAAATCACAGAAACTATCAATGCATTGACATAATTTTGGAGTCGGTTTGTCACTGACTTCTTTTAACACGTACGCTAGACGCCCCCACAGCCTGCTCAAAAAGCTCTCAATGGACATTTCTCCACAGGAGATTACACTGTGTACTTACTGAGGCACAGTTGCTTTCTGACTTGTCTTCCAGAAAGCCAATTTGGCATGGTGTCCTCTGATTCTGTAGCCAGTAGTCTGTTGATTCTAGCAGGCTATTACTGCAGAGGATCTGTTAAAACAGTTAAAAATTGTTAAAATAATTTAAAATTTACTCAGTCCTACCTTGCCTGAACTCTGTTGTTGGCTCTCAACAAAAATCTTGCCTATTTTTGGGAGGCAAGACTTGGGATTCCCATTCCCTTTAGACTTATACAGTTAATGTACCTGGAATTCGAGTGACATATATCCCCTAAAGTATTGGACAGTTTTCTCTAAGAACTAAAAGTCCTTGAAGGAGGTGCCTTAGATAACCCCAACAAATAAAACACTGTTATTGGAAAACAGTGCTAGGAGTTTTGTTCTATGTTAAAGTGATAAACATAGACTTTGGGAAAACTGATCATTTATCTATATTATGGTATACAAACTTGCAGCCTTTATGATTTACTGTGTCTATTTGTCTGAAATAGATCTGTACAATTCATTCTGCTAGCAGCCTCATTTCTGAGACTGCCTAGGCTACCATCTCTTTCTTCTTAATATTTTTCTGCTGTATGAGAAGCTAAAGCACTTGAAACTTTCTGTGAAGAATACTGAGCTAGGTCAGTACGCTTAGATCAAGGCTTTTTCATAGAGAGAGCTCAGTCTCTCTGTATTGACTTAGCCTTACAGCACATGCCACAAGCTTTGCTTGAAGAAAAATAAAGTTAGACTAGATATCTGCAGATTATAAAGAGGCTACGTCAGTTTTGCAAGGCTGATAATTCAGATCAAAGTAAATTCCTTGCTGCCCCTGTATTAACTATGCACAGTTTTCAGGTGGGTCAAATTGCCTTGTTAATAAACAGACCTCCAATGTTACTGAAATATATCTGCAGAAAGTTGTGCTCAGAAAGGACTGTCATTTTGAGCATGGCATCACATTTCTTTGAAATACCAGTAAGTCTGGAAGTGACTCATGGATCGCGGCTGGTTGTGCCCAGACTATCCAGGAACTGTGCAGCAACAACACAGCCAGAGTCTGACTGTACAATCTGTTGGGACTAAAGAGACATATCATTAAACAGTCAGGCTTGTACTTTATAACATTTATAGAGTCGCTATAGAAAGATCCATGACAAGCAAAAGAGACCGATGACAACAGTGAGAATCACTTGTTCCTGTTTGCCCTTTCTTTGAGAGAGTGAAGGCTAGACCAGTTTATCCTAATTTCCATCAGGGATGAAAGTGGGGCTGAGAGGCACAGATGGTCTAGGGGTTGAATTTCTAGGCTGACAAGACTGTGTTAAAACTGAAAAGTTCATTCTTTCCATGCATTCAATTTTGTTTAATAGAGTACAAAGGACAAATAGTTGAGATGGTGAAGCGTGGGAAGGGGAGTTATTCACATGGACAACTTGAGAAATCTTCTTAGCCAACAGAAATGTATGCTGACCTCCTGGAGGGGCTGTGCTTTCTGACTGTACAAAAAGCCTATCAGCCCAGCTGATGCATCTCTTCTCTAAATTCAGTTGAGGCATATATTTCAAGTAATGGGACATTCTGAAGCAAAGAAGAATGGGTCTGTCTGGATAAATTAATCCACAGGCTGACTATTTGGTATGGTTTTTTTCATCCTTCACAATTCTTCCATGAAAAAGAGGAACTCGTATTATTTTGAAATTCTTATTATCAGGAAATAATAGCAGCAACAGCAATGATACTCATAGAACAATTTATATGGCTTGTAATACCTGGCAAAAATGTTAAGAAGCATGTCTGTGAAATGGATGTATATTTTCTTTGTACTTCTGGCAACTGTGGAAAAAGGCTGTACTATAGCGTTTAGACTTTAATAATATTTCAAAATATACCTTTGTTGTCCTACCTGGAAAAAAAAAAAATCTATCTACAGTATTTTTCTCTATCTTACTGCATAATTTGCATTGACATTTCTGTCCTACTTCAGGAACACTTACTTTCTAAGCCTAGATCAATTCCTTATGAAGTGAGAAGAACTTGTCAGGCCTCTTCATTTCTCAGGGAAGATGAATGAGTGTGGAAAGCTGATCTGGCCAGCTAATACAATTTTCTAACACTCAGGAGCAATCCAGAAGTAAGCTTATTACCACACAGAGACCAACACCCACTCTAATTTTTAACTTCTTGTCAGAAAGTCATATAGTTAATACTGCACTCCCTGTGGGATGGATGACAAGGAACACTGGAGCCCATACACCTGGCCTTGCTTGAGCACCTTCCTTCAGTGCCCTCTACAAAGATTTTGCACCTTTATGGTTATTTTTTGGTTTTTTTTTTTGCAAAAGGGTAGGATGCAAAATCTAGCCCTGCTATAGGATTTCTTCTGAAAACAAATTTAGGGTTGACAAAATATGGAAAAACTACTGTGTCCACAGACTTTATTCTGAGAAACACTTGTGACTGCTTCCCATCTACACCAGTTTCTTCCTGGGGACTGCTGGCTGATCTTGTTTAATAGTTCAGTGACTCTGAACTCAATACATTTTATAGCATACTATCTTAGTATGAATAGATTCATGCCACCATAACTAATTCTGAGTCTAGATGGGAAAAACAGCATATATCATATAGCAGAGAAACAATTTCCTTCTAGCTTTATAAACTGTAAACTTTTTTTTTTTAATAAAGAAACGCTACTGAAACATTACAAACTGGTTGGTAAAATATTGCATCAAGTATTTTTTCCAAAAAGTGCCATCTTCAGGAATCTTATGAAGAAAAAGAATTCCATCATATACATATACCTACATACACATATATATCTGATCTCAGATTTCATCTGATCGTAGATCTTCTTAAGCTCAAGGACTGAAGTTCGAATATCCTCTTAGACATTATTTGAGTACATAGGAAATAGTGCTCTTTAACTGAAATAGCTTTCTCAGTAACAAATTTTGTCTTATTTCCTTAAAAAATCTTAGTGAATTTGTCTTTAGTCTTAACAGCTTCTGATCTTTCTTTCCCAAATCTCAAACATTTTCTGAGAAATTGCAATAGGCAGAAATTATCACACAGAAACAAGCTTCCGAAAAACTTGCTACTGCTTTTTCTCAAAGTACTTGGTGTGCTCAACCAATATTTCTCTTCAGAGCTGCTAGATTACAGCAGATGCATACTGTAGGTGATTAATTCATGAAATGAGATGGGCATTCCAAATTTCACCTGCTTTTCTTCCCGTGGATGTTAAATCACCATTGGCACATCTATCTTCCATTCAGGAGGCAAATACTGGTAATGCACTATCAGAAGCAATAACTCTCCGGAACAAATGTTTCAGGTCAGGTCACTGCTATCAAGCTTGAGGGTCACTGCGGGGTTATTTATTAATTTCAAGGCTTTTCAATGCATTCAATTTTTGTATGCAACTTTTCATAATATACTTTAAGGCAAGGGTAGAGATTATTGCATGGAAGCTATGGCATTATGTGATTTTTAGTAACCTTGAAGAGATGAGCAGCATTAGCAGAATGGTGTTCTCCCTAGCCTATGTTCTGCTTTCATGTGTGCACAAGCAGTGCTGGACACTGACTTGAAAATGCAGTCAGAAATGTGAAGAAGGACACAATGGCATTTTTACTACTGGAGGTCTGAGCAGATCATTTTCAGCAATTAGAATTTGAAGGAGATAGGTGAGAAAAGCAAAATAGGATAAACTCCAGACCATGCAACAGGATGTGGAGGAGGTCAGCAATCTAACAAATACAAGTAGGCCCAAAGTCATCTGGAATGCCTCTGGAAGTTTCTCAGAAAAGACAGCACTGTGAGAAAGGGAGGCATGCAGAAGCATATGCATGGGGACTTCTTGCTCTGATTACTGAAGAATCTGAACATATCTGAATGGTGTTCTGAGGACAGAAGGTGACATTTGACTAAGCAGTGCTGGGATGAGATTTTGGATGAGTTTAAGCTCTATCTTATGAAATACAAGTTTCTGCATTATGATCATTACAGATATGTTATTTCTCAGAACTTTCCCACTAACATTTCTATTGAGGAAGGATAATTTGGGCCATTCCACAATGCAGATCACTGTAAGTTTATGCATTCCTGTAATGCAGTAAGTCCATAAACTGAATCCTTGTGAACTTCTGGGCATGCTTCTTTGGCAGTAGACAGCAATATTATCATGGTCAAAGACAAACAAGTATAGGCGAAATGAATTTAATATTTCTAAAATCTGACTACTGCATGATAATTCTACTTATTAACTGTGTTTATGTAAAATGGGAGTATGCAGATGTGCTCAAACTTGCATGAATATTCATGCTTTTAAGAAATACATGAGGAAATGAAGTCCTCATACTACAATAATGTATGAGTGCAATGGTCAGCTGTGTATAAGCTTGAGTGAGCTTGCCTAATCTTCTGGGTAACTAATGAAATTCAGTGTGAGCAGTTATCCCTCAGAGATATAACTGCTCCCATACTTTCTGATGGCCATTTTGGCAATTAGATCCTTTTCAAACTATACTGAGCAGCTCTGTAACAAAGATAAGAAACCTGAACTTGTACTACTCCAGTGGTCATTCACCATCTTTCTTTTATACAGCCTGCACTTCTAATACAAACAGCATCACTGAAGAAAATTTTCTCCTCGCATCTTGCAGTTTTCCTCACTGTCACCTTGCTGAGACAAGTTCCAGGCTAATTCAAACTGGCATACATGGGATTTGCTGAATTCAGTGAGGTTGCTTCTGATTTCCAGTGGTACAAGTGAAAGCAGAACTTTATTCACTGACCACACTTACGCTTAACAGCTGCATGCACTACGCTGCTGTATGTCTGGTTCAGAGCAGGATCAATGTACTCAGAAATTAATTTAGGATGAATTTGCATCATGCACGAAATGTGGAATCAGCAGTAATTCATGGTTCTAAAAAAAAGTTCTCCACTCTCATCTAGAGACTAAGCCGTCAGCATTACTCACTGTGTTGTGAATCAATGAACTAAAATCAGCCTCTAGCAGTGTGTAGATTAGAAAAGTCACTCTTTCCCAGAGGAAAATACTGGATACAAGTTTAGCGTAACAGCTTCCTGCTCCCTAATTTAGATCATAAGACATACACTAAATATCTCTAACTGTGATAACATTAAATAGGCTCTGCTCCACAAATGAAACATCTGCGTCTTCATGGCTGATCATCTTAATTGCTTTGGTTAATTACTACTCATCAAAAAAGATATGGAAGTGGGACATACAGAATAAGATGAACTATCAAAAGGCACATCTTCTGCATTTGTTCAGATTGGTCTTTGTGGTAAAAGACCACATCTCATATGGATCCTGACAGAAGCTATTCTCATTCATACCAAGTGAAAATACTCAAACCTGCAAGTGAACCATTTAAACTGTTCCCTTGCAGCAGGAACTCACAGTTTCACTCCAACACCAATTACACAACTGACTTCAAAAACTACTGTAACTAATGTAGGATAAAAGAAAAGATAATGGCTTACTTCAATTATTCTGCATCCTTTTCCTCTCTCTCTCACACACACGCACACACAAAAAGAACAGCAACACAAACTGTGACAAAGCTGCAAAGAAGCCCAAACTACCCTGCTGTTTGCCAGAAGGGCTGCCAGGGGTGAATCACTTCTTCTAGTGTGTCTAACATCATAAAATTGACTCGTATTGCAGTGAAAAGTTCAAATGTAAGGGATCAGACAGATGAAGCAGCTCTAAATCAAAAGCTAAAGGTAGGTCTGTAGAAGCGATGCTTCTGAAGGTGACCATGCTGGGAACATTCATAAACACAGTGGTGACACTTTTTAGTGCTGTGCCACTGTCCTTCAGTCTTACATAAAATAGCCAACTCAGATTGAAGAAATGAAGGATGTTCAGCAACATTATGAATTTTACGCCCATTTCTACAGATTCCAATTACAGTCAGCAGCATTTTTAAAAAATCACGTATTTTTTTGAAAATAAGCAAACTCTTTGAACAAATGAAGTACTACTGTTTTGTCTTTTGCCTTGCTGGCATGAGTAAGAGATGCACAATTCCAGCATACAAATTAGTCTATTGAGGTTTTTTTATTTCAATGATTTTACATTTATTGAAATTTCAGTAGACAGCCAACACTCAACCCCCAGAGTCACAGTGTGGTTTTCAGAAGGAAAGGAAAGGATAAGGAAAATAAATCTTTATCTTCATCATGTTTATCTATTTATTTTGGAAAACAAAAAACACAAAAGCATTACAGTTAGTAGTGAAGGAAGAAAAAAAATAGAATTATGGGAAAACTAAATGAACTGAGAAGTATATTATATATTATATTACCAAATATTATAAAATATTTTGAGGTAAACAGATGCTTTCTTGCCAGCTCTAGAATAATGCCTATGGGAAATAATCGAGTTCAGATGGTTACTGCTAACTGAGAGATGAAAGATGGCCTGTTCTCTGCAATTAGGGAATGGCCTTCCCTTGGACTGCTCTGCCACAATCTGACCCTGAGAGTGGATGAAGGCATCCAGAGACTTCCCTCGTGTATTGTCAGTTGTACGACCTACGTTAATAAACTACTGTCAGTCATACCTGACTAATCCTAAATACATACAGGCACTGCTTCCTTTCCTCCCCCATGCTCTAAAGCAAATAACTCATATAAAACCATTTTGAGGCAATAAAAGCAGCAGCAGTCAAATCTGTACTACTTCCTTGGTTTCTGAAATCCTCTACTAAGATATTAGGGAAGGCAGAAAAGCTCTATTACGTGAAGGACCCTGTATCACACTGACCTCAGGGAAGCTAAGCTCTGGACCCTCAGGCTAGGTTCCTGAAACTTGCAAGCTATCACAGAGCAGTCCTGAATTTATTTGTGCTCTTCATGATTTTTATACTTTGCCAGAAAACAAGAAAAATGAGAAATACTTAAGGGAAATGTACCTCCCACACACATATATTTTGTAGCCAGACAAGTATAGACCATGCACACAAAACTGCAATATACCATTACAGCGTCCAGAATTCATTTTTCTGTATCAATCCTCTTCCTCTTTAGGCATCAGTTAAATGTTGTGTTCCTCAGTAAAAGTAAATGCTAGAAAGCAAAGCTGTAACCCAGGATATATATGCTTTTGAAAATAAAATAAACTTGGAAGTTACCTTTTTACATGCTGTGACAGTGCTTCCCAAACTGCTTCCTGAACTATCTGTGCTGTTGCCTTGGTGCTCTGGGACTTCTTGCATCAGTGGAGATTCAAAGTTGCTGAAGAATAAAAAACATACAAAAGAAACCTCCAAAAATCTTTTCAGTGACTCAGTTATATATATAACTCAAATTATACAAAAAATACAATTAATTAAAGAGAAGTAACTAGTTTACAAGAACTTTTCTATAGCCTCATTAGTGACATTAAAATTCCATTTATGACCTTAATTTTTACTTTTGGAAGTACATTATATGAATATGACCAATGCCTTTTGAAGACTAGAGGATGACACATAGCTGCCTTTAATGACATTTGTCTGCCTTGAATGGTACTGTGAAACATGGCACTAACTTATTTTCATAAACAAGCAGCTTGAAAGAGCATATAGAACACTGGCTACATTCATTCAGCTTGGTAGACACCATAAAAAGAAGCACTGGCTGCAGTTTATCCTCAGTTTCACCTGCCTGGATCGAAGAAGTAACGGGTAGGGATTAAAATGTAAGAAAACACAATAGAAGTGGTTGAATTATGTAAGCCAGGGTGAATCGTTTGCTATATGGTAGGTACAGAGCAAAGGTAAGTCATGCATATAGTCTGTTTTGTGAGTCAGCCGTACACAGCACACCCGTTTACCTTGGGATTGTCTTGATGTGATAGACATAACCATAACAATAAGCTCTCGCAGCCAAATTATTTGCATTCACAACTGGTACCACCCCTCACACTTTACTTTTGGAATAGATCTGGCCAATCTTGCAAGATCTCCCTCTATACAATAACGGAATTGCCACAACCTCAGTAGAATTTCTCTCTCCAGAGGTAACGTGATAGCCATTAAAGATCTCACAGTGCCAAAAGTCTCTTCCTCCCAGGATTTACTAGGAAAAGAGTATTCAACACCATCAAGTTCTGCTTTCCAAACTGAGCCTCTAGAGTGCTTTCAATTTACTGCTGACTATCTATGAGAGGATACAGAACACTTGCAGACAGACCCTAACAGGCAACCAGGTTACCAAGGCTTACCTAATAATCTCTCATCAGTACTGACAGGATAACAGACCGTGTGCAATTACCTAGTTTGCTCAAATAAAATCTGAAACAAATTTTCCTAAGTCATCTTTGCTGAAGCTTAAGGCAGTGAGTTAGGAGGCTACATGCAGCTTTTTACCCAAGTCCACAGGCAAACATCAACAAGGCTACCTTTCTCTCAAAGATTCACAAACATAGGACCAGATACGGATCATCGTACTCCCTAAGTAATTTCCCTTGTCAACAAGGGAATATATATATATATATGGGCAATATATGAAGTGCTATTCCATAGTTATTCCAGGTTATTAAAAACATCGACAAGCAAAAATAAAAAGTGTTCTGGAATTAGGACTGTGAATGAAAAATACACAAATTAGTACTTACAAATTGCTAATTAATAGGAAGATTCATGAATTGCATGGGAGGATGGAATACACGTGTATAAATGAGATCAGAATGTTAACTGACTTTATTTGAAAAGTGCATTATCCCATAACACACTCTGAGACACCAGTGTCCTAACATCTAGAAGTGGGAGTCCTGGCTGTTTACAGGATATTTCTCCATTGCTCAGATTGTGTAGATAATTTATCTAGCATTTGAAAAACCAAACTAGCATTTCATAAGCCTTACCCTCCATTAGAAGAATGAGGGACATTAAACATACAAAGTCATTATGGTTTTATATCTTAATCAAAACTAAGAACTTGATATTCAAGGGTCAAATACTGCATACGTGAAGTACCCTCCTTCACAACTCCGCAGTCAGACTAGCTGCAGTCTTTGTACTCTGCCCAGTACTCCCAGCAGAAGCTGTCACTGCCTCTTTTTATAAGATGCATCCCCCATGCAATCTAATAGTAAATTACAAATCAAGTCTGACCTGCAGGTTGGAGAACAAGGCTCATTGTTTTCTCATGCTCTTCAATGAGAGAAAGACTGAGTGGTTTTGCCACTACTTTGCCCTGCAGGGACTTGGCATGCTGACAATGAGTGCTGGCTTTCTATCATGCTGTGTACAGGTATCTGAACTCACAGTGCCAAAAGTGTCACTGAGTCTAAACGCAAAAAAGATGGCAGTGTAGCCAATAACTGAGAGCCCTTTTGGACCTCAATTAAATAGTACGGATAGAATAGTGCATTAAAGCACAGCTGGAAAATAGTTAAGGAGTCATGTTCTGGAGTACTGACAAATTGTGCTGTCTCCGGATCATGCTCTAATGCATTACATCTTCCATACAGCAGTAAAGCAGGCTTCCCAATCATGTGGAAAGCAAACATATCTCTTAAAATTTGTCTCCTTTCCAAAATACCACTTTTCATTTGCAAATACGACAATGTTTATTAAAGGTATGTGATGAGTAAAATAAATGTAGAATGCCATTACCTGTTCTAGATGAGGCTTCATCTCAAACTTAAGAGCTGACAGGAAAGAGCGACAGCCTTTGAAATTACTGAAATCTGGTAAACCCAAATTCTCGTCAGCTATCCTAGTCCTCATGCCCAACTGACTGATCCGTGAGCAGGTAGAACCAGCAACTCTGTATCCCAGGACAGGGGACATCACAGTCAGGAGTAACTGTAGCACTTCCATAGCTGCTTTTTTTTTTTTTTTTTTTGTCTAAAGGTTCAACTTTCCTGCGCTGTAACTGCAGAGATAAATCTTTATTCTTGTGCTGCACTGCAGTTCAAATCTAAGGTTGTGCTGGCGCTGTGAATTCCAGGCTCTGTTTGCAAAGCTGTTCACACAGTCAGGGTTCACAGACTGAAATAATTTTAACAGAGAAATGTGAAGTTATGAGTTATATTTGGGAGTAGTCTTAGACTACACACACTCATCGGCCTCTGTTGAAAGTTAAATGAACGCCTTCTAGGTATCGTGTGAAGCAATATGCAGCAGTACAAACTAATTGATGTAAAAGAGCATATAGCTGAGTTCCTTCAGTTTGGCCATCCAGTGTCAAACACTTACATCTTGCATAACCCAAGCAATTCCAGCATACTGGATTGAGTCATGGGTCTTTCAATCAACACAGAACTCAGGTTTGGCTTTTCAACATCTCTTTTTTAATTATTTCAACAGTCAATCAATTTGATCAAAGTTTCTTTTTCTTATCCAATAGGCTCCTTTCTAAGCTTTAGTTTTCAATATGCACGTGATTTAATTCTTAAGAGATTCTCTTCAGACCACTCAGTCTGTAGTAAAGTAAAATAAACCCAATTTTCATCAGCTCCCCAGAGGAAAACTATTCTCTCTTTGAGAAGTTGCCTGCTCTCATTAGTTTCTCAACAGCAGAAAGCTGAAAGAAACTGCTGCAGAGATGTTGTCAGATCATCATCAAACAATAACTCTGCATTCACACACTATACTCATTACTTCAGCACACCAGGAGTTTGGAAGCACAAGTCTTCCAAGGCATCTGGCACAGGTAAGCACCTTTTCACTACAAGATAAAGCAAGCTATTGAAAGCTTCAAGGTCTGAATTCTCACCTCTGCTGGACTTGATGGAGAATGTTCATCTGACTTAGATGTCCTCATCAGATGTAGAGCTATTGTGGAAGGCCACAGACTTAATAAGGAATCTGTCAAAGGGACTTCAGTCAGTACAGTGTTTAGTAGAGGGTGCAACCTGTAATATCTACTAAAATGTTCTGTATCCTGTGAGAGAATGATTTCTCCTTCGGTGGCAGAGATCCTAATTTACAATTTCCAATCTGAAACTGGGAACCTGGACCAATGGCTCAGTGTTGAGAAGTGTGCAATTTTCAGTATAATATTTCCATTAATAGAAGAGTTTCCAGAGTCCCTTATTTGCCACCAGACGCTGTTTTATCGATATCAGAATTATGATTGATTCTTTTTCCCACAAAGCTAAATGCTCTCTCTAAGGATGCAAACAAATTTCTTGGAAATCGGAAGCCCGCAGCAAATTGCTATGAGATTTATGGCATCAACAGTAATAAAAAATCATCCTTTGTTATTGACCAAAATGCAAAACAAATGCTTCTATTTTCCTACATTGAATAATTCAAGAATACTGACCTCGATGACTCAATACTTAATGAAAAAAACCCCACAGATGCTTCTAAAAATAATTACCTTTTCTGCAGATGTGGCAGATGGTGCTACATCACAAAGAAAAGGTAAATTTAAGAATTCCCCAGGTTATCACTGAAGAAATATAATCTTGTGAAATAATATCAGAAACTTCAATTTTGTACTATCTTGAACAAGCATAACCTGCTTAAAAAAACTCTGCTGCTCAATAATTATTTCTAAGGAGCAAATTCAATAAACTATGACACAAGCGAGAGCTGGGCTAAATTCTTCAGCATATTCTTGATTTTGCATTCACAAAGACACCCAAAAGCAACTGAAAAACAGGGAGGCAGCTAGCTTAATCCAGGCCCTAAGCAAATAGCTTTTTGGAAAGGCTTGCAGCATTCAAGCAGCATCTCTTCACTTCAAAGCCCAAAGCCTTTTGAAGTAGGCACACTAGTCACGCTCTTCCTTATGCTACCTTCCAGATTTTGCAGTTTTAAAAATTACCTTTACATGTAAATAGGTCAAGAGTCACTAGCAGTAAAGTCTTTAGATGTAGCACTGTCAAAGTTACTATTTTAATCCACAGAATTGGTTTTGATTCAGTCTGGACCATGTGTATACTTCAATCAGAGCACAGATGGTTAGTCAAACAGATGCTCTATAAATACCTCAAACAAATGTCTTTCTGATTTTTTTTATGGATTTGGAACCCATGTGCAGAATATAATCACTGGCAATACCAGGGCCTGATCTTGCAGTGCATTCATAGACTTGTTTTGGTCTCCACTGGCTGCTACTGACTCCACTGGGAGCTTAAAAAAGTGACACTTCAGTATCAGACATGAGTGTCCGATATGTAACCAGGCTGCTAGTAAAACTGGTGCACTAAAAAAAGAGTAGAACATTGAGTCTTTATATTCAGATTGCTCATTTGGTCATGTCCATTGGGTACTCT